CGAAGGAAAGTTGTCGGAACCGGGCTTCATAGGGTGGATACGTTTAGAGGGAAGACACTTGGATTCCTCTAGCGAGTAACCTCAAGTCGTTGAAGTTACAACCGGGAATCGATTCCCTCATCCATCATCAATAGTGAAGGAGTTCAAGACATTCGGTAAATAATTTTACTAGTATTTACTTTATAATAACAAATCACAATTTGTATATGATGCATGTTTTAAAGATGACGATCAGTTAATTCGCAATTAGTATGTACGGGTGTTGTATTTATACGATAAATACTTACTTTAAAAATTTTAAATTCCGCTGCGTACAGCCCGTACGGTACTATCGAACCCAACATATCTAAGATTGAGCTTGATTTAAAAAGACTAAATTCGATATTTAATCAACTAATATTATTCGATTAGCAAAATTATTGAATTTTTAGTACGTGCATCGGGTCGTGTATACAGAACAACATGTTGTGTCATAAAGTGCAACGTATTGTTATATAAAGTGCAACGTATTGATATATTATATGCAAAACTATAATTTTGGTACGTTATCATGCTTGCGTTTCTTTTTTTCTTTTTTTTTTTTGTATAGTTGATGTGATGAATAGCAAAATATTATTAGATCCGTTTTTCTAAATTAATATTGCATAATAATTTTTATGGGAAGTGTTGACATTAATTGTGTAGCGTGGTGATAATGTGCAACGTGTTGTTTTATAAAGTACAATATAACATACACAAATGTGCAACATGACAGTCATTAATGTGCACGATTTTGGCCGCTATTGTGCAGTGTGAAAGCACCGAATTTTCCTCCCAACCAAATTGAAACCGAATACTAACGTGCATTTCAATTTTTTTTTTAAAAAAAAATCAATAATGTGTATTTTAATTAAAATTACTGTACCATTATCAAATAATTTGTGTAATAAACATACATTTAATATTTATAATATTTATATTTAATATTTTATATTATTAATTTAATTAACATTACCGTGCATTTGTTCAGCTAAAGTGCAATCTTACTGACACAAAAGTGCAACACGTCAGTCAATAATGTGCAACATGTCCAATAATATTTTAATATTTTATCTTTTTTTTTTATTCATATTTTTTATTTATTATTTTATGTATTTAAAAGATAGAACGAAATAGCACACTTTTATATTCTTTTCTGAAATTACATACTTGACTCATGGGTTAAATTGAAATATAAATAGATTATAAATTTATAAATTAGCCCCTAAAAATAATCTAATTCTCAAAATAATTCCCCCCCACCATTACATCGCTCTCGCTTGTATCATCACCACCACTCTCACCGGAGAAGACGCGAGCTTCTGGCGGAGGCGGACCAACCGTCGAGGACACCGATCGGAGCTTTCCACTCAGGTCACCGGCTGAATGTGCTCAGAGCCTGCCGTGAAGCCGGTAGAAATCGTCTCAGTCACCTCGTCCAACATCTCTGTCCACCGCCTCCTCCGCGCCTCAGCCGTCTCAGTCATCTCCCCCAACATTTTGCGGCGTACGAGCTCCCGTTAGCATCTCCATGGCCGGTTTCGTCTTCAATAGCCTCATTGTCCGTCTCGATTCCGGTGAGAATATGGCGGTCGAGAGAGACGGCTGACGACAGAGTCAACAAGCGAGGCGACGTGGTTGTCTTCTCCGCTTAGTGTTCGATCTCGTCGATCTCCATATTTGTTGTCCTGAAGTCGCCATAAACCGCCAATGAAGAGCGGCGGTCGATGGCAATGTGTGTGAGAGCTTGGATGGATGGTTGCCGGAGCTGGCATAGAGGTCAGACGGTTCACCGGTTACTGTTTCTATGTGTGTGTGTGTGTGTGATAATGTGCATGCTGCGTGTGTTTGATATTGTGTATGTATTGTGTGTGTGAGTGTGTGAGAGAGAGTGTGGTGTTGGGTGGTGATATGGGATGGTCGAAGACAAAAATCCATCATGACTAAGGCCGAAAGGTTGGATGGTCGCATGTAACGACCACCCCTTTGAGGGTGGACATATGCTCGAAGACAAAAATCCATCATGACTAAGGCCGAAAGGCTGGATGGTCGCATGTAACGTCCACCCCTTTGAGGGTGGACATGTGCTCGAAGACAAAAATCCATCATGACTAAGGCCGAAAGGCTGGATGGTCGCATGTAACGACCACTCCTTCGAGGGTGGACATGTGCTCGAAGACAAAAATCCATCATGACTAAGGCCGAAAGGCTGGATGGTCGCATGTAACAACCACCCCTTTGAGGGTGGACATGTGCTCGAAGACAAAAATCCATCATGACTAAGGCCGAAAGGCTGGATGGTCGCATGTAACGACCACCCCTTTGAGGGTGGACATGTGCTCGAAGGCAAAAATCCATCACGACTAAAGCCGAAAGGCTGGATGGTCGCACATAACGACTACTCCTTTCGAGGGTGAGCACATGTCAAGAGGTGGTTATAGTCGTTAGGATTCGTTACTTTATTAAGCGTAACTCAGACAATTGGCGAAAACAACAATGACACATAGCGATAGCGTGGGCTCGATAATGAAAACGTCATCACGGTGATACATCGACAAACAGATAACAAGATATAGCGAGAATTCGAAAACTTCATCATAAACAACATTCACCTGATACAAACAGAATACAAAAGTTCAACACAAATTACAACTACAATCTCAGAAGGAGGCATCATTGGAATTGGCGCCCATCGTGGGGCCATCGGTGGTCTTCTCTGGTGGCGGCTCGAGCTGTTGCCCCTCAGGCCCAGCTGGCTGGCTCGAGCCAGAGGTGGACCCAGCCCCATCGGCGGATTGAGTTTGGCGAGCACGAGGAGGAATGTAGCCGTCGGGGAGCTTGAATGTGCGCTTCAACAGGTCGTCTTGCTCCACGACGAGCTCGAGTAGGCCGGACCACCAGTCATGATCGTAGGGCAGGTCGAGGGGGCTTTGATAGCCAATAGGGGCCTTGGGCATGACGTCCCATATTGTTTCCATGTTGACTCTTCGAACCCGTCTTCGGCCACTTGAACCCCCGCTTGGTGCATTATGGCCCCAAAGCAATGGGTGCCATAGTCTTGCACGTCCTTTAGATACTGTGGCGACTGCTTGAAGGCAGCCACCACTTGCTCGCAGTAATTTTGCAGGAAGCGTTGGCCGACGGTCGTGTGGAAGAGCATACGCCAGGCCCGAAGGACGGCCTCGTCGATTAAAGGCTTAGCCTTTTGCTCGAAAGCGATATTTCCACGCGCTCGAGCCGACTTCTCCTCCTCGAGTGCCGCCTCAAGAGCCTTTTTGGAGGCTAGGAGAGCCTCTTTTTCGGCTCGCTCGGCCGTGAGGGCCTCCTCGAAGGATTTCAAGGACCCCTCGAGCGTCTCCTTTTCAGCGCATAGGGCTTTGTTCCGGGCGGCCGACTCCTTCAGCCTCTCGTGGAGGGCGTTGGCCTTGACGACGGTCTCTTCTAGTTGAGCACCGAGCTGGAGATTGCTCCGTTCGAGGGCCGAAATAGATCGACCAGGGCTCGCGAGCATCTGCTCGATCAATGGTGCGAGCTCGACCATCCCCTACATAGGTGTGTAATAAAAGGTGTTAGAACGTTAACAAGGGAAGAAAGAACAAAGGTAGACAAAGGTCAAGAGACAGTAAATTACCTGAGCCAACCAGCGGGCAAGCCGTTGGCCGCGATCCCGAAGAGTGTGGCCATCATTGTAGCGGTCGGTGGGGCGGTCGACGGGGGGAAGAACATCTCTAAGGTATAAAGAGAACCCCGGACCGTTGAGAGTAGTGATAGAGAGGGTGGCCTCCTCAACACGACGGCGTTTAGCAGTACCCTGACTCTTCTCGAGCAGGGATTGTTCAGGAGAGACAGGGATATGAATGATTGAGGTGGTCTCCTCGGGTGGCGGTGAGCGGGGTGCCGGAGAGGCTGGTTTTTCGAGCGGCTCGGACGGCTCAGGTTGTTCAAGGTGCTCGACTTGCTGGTGTTCGGTCTGCTGGCCTATCTGAGGGTCGATCGAGGAAGGCTGCTCGACAACCACTTCTGGAGGTAATGCGGTCGAGCGCACAGGTTGGAGGGCGGTCGGGCCAGTGGGTTTTGAGCTCGACCCCTCACCAGGTTGTTTCCTTTTCAAAGGCGCACTCCTTTTGGGCACAGAGATATTGGGCATCTCTGTCAGAAATCACGAATATGTTAGAATCACAACAAAGAAATTATACGAGGAATAACGGCATGATAGTAAAATACCTGGATCATCTATAATCTTAATGAGATTGAAAATTTTTTGAGAGGGAAGTGGAAGTGATTTGTGAGTAAGAAGACCACAGAAGTGTAAGAGGTTTTCATCCTCGAGCAGAGTTTTTGACGCAACGGGCTTAGTGTTCCACACAGCAATCCGTTGGTCGAAGAGGGCATTTTGCGGGGGCACCACATTATCCCTCTTGAGCTCCTTAAGCCAGGGAGTTGGCTCCCAGGGAAAAGCAGGGCTAGGTTCGACGAAGGCGAACTTATCCTTCCATCTAGGAACGTTCGTAGGGGTGTCTGAAATGAAGTGAACATCGGCACGGCTTTTAAGTAGAGCCCTTGAGTGTGTTTTGAAGGGGCGTAGCAATAGTGGAAGAAATCCAGATCGAGCAGACCCAAACGGACATGGCAAAGAATGATGAAGATGGTAATGAACCGAATAGCATTGGGCGGAAGCTGGTTCAGAGGTAGTTCGAACCACCGGCAGATGTCGATCAGATCCTGACACAAAGGAAAGCGGATGCCTAGCTTAAACTGAATCTCGAAGAAGGTATAGCAACCCCGGGGCGGACAATCGTATGTATTCTTGGGACCAGGGGATACAAAAGCCCACTTGGCTGGATGACCAACCTCGTTAGGGTCCAACCAGCCGGCGATGAGAGAATAAGACGGAGTCTGATCAGAAGAGAAAGTTTTGACTAGCCTTCTCTTCTTAGTAGGCTTAGAAGGGGTGGTAGCAGGATTTGAGCGCGTTGGCAATGAGGTAGGGCCGGAAGTTTTCAAGGCGGATGGAGATGAAACACTTGATTTAGGGTTACTCGAGGAAACAATCCTGAAAAAAATGGAGTGTTGAGAGAGAGGGATATTATCTTCATCCCTCCCCATGGCCTTCTCAGCAGCGTCGAGGGCTGCCTCGGCGGCATCAGAAGCCCCAAAAATCGGCCGGCGGCGGTTGAGGGGAATGTGGTCGAGAGTGTCCGCATCTGATTCATCAATCAGATGGGCAGATTGACGAGGAGGGGAAGATGGGAGACAATCAGAAGGACGGAAAACATTGAGAGGAATGGGATTGTAGATTTCATCAACGGAATGAGAGGGCGAGTGAGGAATAGGCTGGCGAACGGGAAAGGATGACGCGTCGGTCTCATCTTCACCGGAATGACGGCTTGGTGCGTTAGAATCAGCGGAATCTTAAAAGTAGAACGAAAGAGTAAGAGGAAGAGAAGAGGAGTTAGGGTTTTTTTCGAAAGCAAAGAAGGAGGTTTTCTATCACAGGCGAAATGAGAAGAATTTGGGGAAAAAGAAGAAGTAACAAGGAAATTCGAAAATCGACGAAATAAACACACGCAAATATAAAATTGAAGCACAGAGGACTTACTCATGGTCGCAGTAGCAAAGTAGTTGCCGGAAATTGCTGGAAAAGACGCCGAGAGCAAGCAAGAGCAATTTGCAGAAAAAAAGTGTAGAGCGCAAAGGGGCTTCGAAATTGCAAAGGTGAGAAAAGCGGAAAAAATGGCTAAGTAATGTATTTATAGGAGTGCAGGTGAATAAGGTGAAGGGTTAGAGGATATGTCCGTTGGATAAAAGAAGATCCAATGGTGAAAAATTAAAGAGTCGCAGATAACGAAGCGGCACAAATAACGAGAAGACGTGATGATTAAAAGTACAGAGTTGAGGGGACATGTGGCAGGCGGAAATCATGCTGGTAGCAAAAAAGAAATAAAGGCAATCATAGTACGCTTTAAAATGGACCATGTAGTCGAGCGAAGAAGCCAGGTGACAACTTCGACGAAAAAATGATCGAGATAGGAGGCCAGATGGCGATATCGACAAGAGATGATCGAGATAAGAGGCCAGATGGCGATATCGACAAGAGATGATCGAGAGAAGAGGCCAGGTGGCGACACTGACAAAGGGTGATCGAGCGAAGAAGTCAGGAAGCGATATCAACAAAACATGGTGGAGAAGGTAGGCGGAATAGAGAAGACAGCTCGAATCCACTCTTGGATCGAGTCATTCAGACTCGACCAGAGTTGGGGGGACTAGATGATATGGGATATTATATGACTGAGGAGCAGACCGGCCCGACCGGTCCATCACATCGATCGGACAAGCATGAGGTGAAGAAAACCACTATGATAGAGGGAGGATCGACCAAAATGGAAGAGATCGAGCAGAGTAGGTCGAGGATCGATCTAGCAAGGGAGAACTCGAGCAGATCGAGCACCCAGCGAGTAGAAAGTGATCGGGAGCGTGGCCTAGACGCGAGTATGCGCGTGGGTGACGTTAGGAGATCCCAACGGCCTGCGCAGAAGAATAATTTCCCTCAAGCTCAGAGGGACACGTGGCGGAGATACATTGGTGCAGAGCGATAGTGGCAACAGCCACCTCTGACATCTCTGGCAACATACACACTGTGTGTGTACGGACGGGC